GCAAAGCATCTTCATTCAGTGAGGAATTAATGCTGGAGATTGCTTTTATAACCATTCTTCCACAGTCTTTCTAGAAGTAGGTCAATGTTTGTCTGAAAGAATCCATTAAATGCTTCTTTTGATTATTGTGAATAGGGAGTTTTAACATATGCAAAAGGCTTGGTTCCAAAGGAAATTACAACAACGTTGGAGTTGTGAAGTCTTGATGCCCTGATTGTTGTACTGTCGTAGATCTGAATAACTATTACCCAAACGTTGGAGTACGTAAGATGTATGATCAATGTACGTTGACATCAGTAGACCCAATTCTTAATACTGAGATCTGCCAGAGTTTGTATCTTTCAGTTGCTAAAACATGGTAAAAATACCATACTAAAACCAAAGAATGTACAGAGATGCCAAAAATGTTGTTCCAGTTTGACTCAGTAATGAATATTTTCCCAATAACAAAGCTATAGAAAGCGTGTTTAAAAAAAAAAAAAAGTTGTCTAAAAAAAAGGTAATCACGTGTCCTTCCACGTTCTGAGTCTCATGCGTGTGAGCAGTGGATAACGTACTTCCAAAAGGAAAGATAGCTGTGAGAATCTGAGGGGAACAGGAAGTAAAGCTCCTGATGATTTCAATTAGTCCTTGTTTTCAACTCAGATTTTTCCCTTTCTCTCCTATCTCCTGTGTGCTCGCAGATGCAGTTTTCACTAAAAAGACCTGGATTTGAGTTCTCAAATATCAGCTGGTTGCTCTGTGTTCAGCCAGCGCCCTGTGAAAGCCTCTAACAGCAACTACTCTGAAACTGAGTTGTTTTGTAGTTGAGAGGAAAGCCTGTCTGCCGTGCAGAATGTGAAGTGTGCTGGTGCTTGTGAGGATGCTGGTTCCGTGCTACAGCATTGTTAATTGCTAATGGAGAACGCCTGTGATGGCAGGACTGGGAGTGCTCTCATTGCTGCAGCTTGTCAGTCGCACAGCTGAGCTGAACAGCTTTGCCTTTTCTCCCCCTAAATTTACACTGTCTTAAAAGTTTTACTTTGCCTTTATGAGAAGTAAGGTATTACTCAACATGTGCAACAGAATAACACAGCAAACCGGCAGCTGCTGTGAATTACTAATTAACAGGTTTCGCCACTAATCTAAGCGTGGCTTCCTTTGAACCTTTGCCTAAATATCAGAAGAGGTAATTATGTGCAATTTACTTTTCTAGGGAGATTATGTTACAGAAATAAGGGCAAGCTCTGGCATGATCACAAGGAAGATTCACGTTTGACTTAACAATTTTAGAAAAAAAGAAAAAGACCACAAAAACTTGTATTGGTTTGTGCTGAATGCATATCCATCCATCACATCTGTCACGATGTGACGTAGTAGCTGTGTTAACAAATCCCACGAGTGTTAATGTTTAATTTTAGAGGTGGTACTGTTTTACTGCAGAAAGTGATTTCCAGCCGTCTTATAAATCCGCTTCAGTTAGCGTTTTTAATCAGAAGGTATTTTTATTGTGGAACTGTTCCCTGGTGGCTGGGAGCCCTGGCTGGGCTGTCGCAGCATGCTCAGGCTGCAGGCAGTCGCCCCGGCCTTTTCCTGTTCTGCGTGCCATTTTGTTGTAGGTCCTCCAAAAAATGTTTTCGACAGATTGTCCCAGCCTCTCACAGGCCTTCAGGGGACAGGGACACATTTGGCTCGGTTCTATCTCCATCAGCTTTTCCTGGATAGCCTCGGGAGCTGAGCTCCCAGATTCTGGCTCTGATCACAGGGAGCAGACCCAAAGAATGAGTGTATGGAATAGAGTTATTTACTGAGGAGATGAGTAGTAGAAAGTGAGATTGAGAACATGAGTTTAAACTTGGAATTTTCCTCCAGAAAGGCATCCCTCTCTTACAAGTGTAAGAGGAACTCTGCTCACCATGCCTGTTGTCTGCTCCCTAAAATTAGCTACCATGAAAACTCAAGTGTTGATGATAGTAGCTCTGAGTGTTGGGTGGGATGAACCTTTGGGATTGTAGCACCCTGCACAAAGCAATTTAAGTCCAATGCTAAAGTTAGAGATTGAGTGATCTTTTGACGTTGCAGCAGTGTGTCCCTCTCAGCTGCTTAGTGCAGTGTTGGTGCTGAATGGAGGTCTGATCTGTGATTTGCTCAGGGCTCCTGGTGATTGCAAAGCAGAGGTGGTATTTTTCCTGCAAGATACTCTCAGCCTGGTAGCATTGTAGCTGATTGTCTACAGATACTTTGTTCATGTGCTGCGTATTCATGCATGAGATCCATCATGAATCTATAGGCTGCTTTGAATTGCCAAGTTCTGTCTCAAAATTTTGCAAGAATTTGGGTTTTGTGGCTGTGACGGTAGCATCCAATTCTTGCCAGCACTGCTTTAGCACAGTAACCATTCAATGTAAATGATGGGCTATTGCATTAACCCTAAGTAGGGCAGTAAAATTCCAGGTCTATAAGGAAGTGGTTTTCAATCTGTGGTTCGTGCATGGCTGTGATTTTGTAGCCCCTGTCTAAGGGGTTTGTGAAAGGCTTCCATCCATCCACAGGATTACCTTTTCATATGCATCCTTCATTTGACTATTTACTACTACGTAAACCAAAGACAAGCCAATAAACTGTTGCTGTAAAGCAAACCTTATTCTTCTTTGTCTTGGCATACGTGTCATAGGGTTTGTTCTGTTTCTGTGCTCTGCCTTCAGAGCAGGGAGCTGGGGCAGCAGGGTGCCCTTCTCTAGGGGGTGCATGGTGGGAGAACAATTCTCTTACCTCTTCAGATTTGTGTATAAAAGTTTTAACTTAGGATTTAAGAAAAAGTTTTCACTGTGGGGGAAATACAGAGGACACCAGTAGCATTAAATTAGCGTATGTGACTAATTTTAGCTAGTTGTAACAGGAATGTAATGACGTACTAAAAAAGGTTAGAGGAGTGCACTGCTTATACTAAGTAGTGTTTCAATGGGAAGAGTTTAAACAGAAATGAAGAGTGTTGTGTAAGTTTGCTTAAACCCTAAGGGAAAACACTTCTGGATTTCTGCTGAACTCCAGTACTACCCTTCTTAATCCAGCATTTCCCAGCAAAACCTGGCTACTCCTGGCCAGGCAGACAGTCTGCATTTGCAGTTTGCTACTTTCCATCTCCTTCCAGAGATCAGAGATTTCCTGGTATCTGAACGAAGCAACAGTTTTACGTTCAAGTTCTTTTAACCCACTGAAGGATACCACTTATAAAACCATTAGGGAGAATCTCGAGATGAATCCAGTTGTAGAAGTATTGTAGATGAAATGTAGGTAGGAATTACTTCAATAGCTTGCCTTTGCACGGAGGAAATGAATTTGTAATATGAGTCTTGAAAGTAATCTCAAAAAAAAAGACAGATCCAATTTATGAAATAATTTTAGACACATTCAAAGAGAACAAACATTAAATGGAGGAACGCAAGTTAGCTGGCAGCAACAGTGAGAAGTAATCAGTCAAAGTCAGCATTTCACAAGGGATTTTATAAAGACTAATACTGGGCCTGATGTCTTTATGTTTTTATCTCTGATTTCAAAATATATCACTTCTAATGAATTTGCACATGATGTGGAGATAGGGAGTGTGCACTTAGCTATCTAAATTACTTGCTGAGCCAGACCAGTTTTAATCAAGTGTAGTTTAATATGGATGCATATAAGATTGTATGTACGAAAACAGAAAGCAAATTCATATAGAGTGGAGCGTTGGTGTCCCGACAAACAGCTCTTGGCAAAATGATCTCTTGAGCACTGAGTTTCAGTGTTTCATTGAAAAGGTTGGGGCAGATCCTTAGGCAGTGGAACAGAGGCAGTGCAGAGGAGAAGTTCACATGCTCAATGGCTTTGGATGTTGTACTTGGAGACTTGGGGAATACTGTCTCCAGTCAGAGAAAATTCACCAAAATTCTCCTGAGGCTGGAAAAAAAGTCTGTAGTGAGAAATTTAGACTGAATTTTGGCTTACCAAAAAGGATTGAAATGGGTTGAATTGCAGTGTGCTTCCACAGGAGAAAAAATCCAAAGAGCTTTTGTTGTAAGTGAAATACCTCAAGAAAGCATCATCAGCTGTGGGTAGCAGTTAGACAACTCAGAAGGAACTCGAGGCATTATTTTTGATGACATGTGTGAATAACCATGAGAACAAGTATCAAGAAAAGTGACAGGTTTGTTTTGCAGTTGCAAATGGTGATGCTCTCGTAGAGAATGTCTGTAGCCATAACAATGCTTTTGAGTTCAGACTGGGGCAGCAATATGAAATTCTGTATTTTCTGCTGTAACAAGGGAGAAAACATGACTCGTATGTGCATCCCATCCCTGAATTCTGTTGGACTGAAAACAGCATGGTGTTTTCTCTTGAATGTTAGGAATTTTGTCCTTAAAGCTAATTATGAATTATTTTTTTTTTAATCTTCTAACTTTAACACATTTGGTAAGGCTTTTTATGTAAGACTTATGCATGACAAGGTCATCTTTTGGAGTATTTTAATTCATTGACAACTGTGACATTCCTTACATATAGTTTTTCTCTCTTATGTATAACGTTGCCACTCTCTTGAAGGATATTTGAGTCAGAGACTCTGGTATACAGCTTGAAGTTTTACTGAGTTTCTTTCTAAAATGCATTGTTAATACCATGTAAAGCATGTATTCGAGCTTTAATGGTGGGTTTTTACCATGTCCCTGTGTTTTTGGCTAGGCACTGACTAACTGGGTTATAGGACTGAATACAAATAAAATGCCATATTTCAAAGTCTTGGTGTTTTGTTTTGGCAATTGTTGAGTTTATGACAATAGCTGTTACCTTGTCCTGTTGATGAGACTTCCACAAGTGCATACTCTGAATTTAATCAAATTCTCTTTTGAAAGGTGGGGAAACAAAACCAAAAGAACTTACCTCAGTCTGTTAGCCTGAATTGCAGTCTGTTTGCTTCCTTTGGTTGACATTCTGAAAAAAGCTCACATACGTGGCTGCTTTCTCTAACGTGTGTGTTTAATCTTCAGATCTTCGATGGCCCAGGAGATGAGCGCTCAGAGTCTCCCTATGAAAGTGCTGATGAAACTCAGACTGAAGTGTCTATATCATCCAAAAAATCTGAGCGAGGAACGGGAACAAAAAAAGAATATGTGTGTCAGGTGAGAGATGGTAGCTGGGCAGGGAGCTGTGTTTTCTGAGGTATCCTGGAAAAGGGATTTTTTTTAATTTGAAAATGACAACATTAGGGCAGACGCAGATTTATTGTGCCTACAGCATGGAGGAGACATTAGTGAACATGTTGCCGTATCAGTAAATGGAATTCTTCCTAGTTTTTTTTTTCTTGATCTAAAATAAGTGACTTAGCCTTTCTGGTTTAGTTTCCGGATGAGTAAAATAAATGTGATTTGTACCTCAAGGACAGCACATGAGGTTTGCCAGGTGACTGGATTAAACGGCAGAGAACTGCTTGCTTGTCTGCTATTACACAGAAGGAAATGTGACATGGCTGTGTGCTTCGGTGTGAGCACAGCAGAGGTGGCTGCGCTGCACTTACAGCACGCTCACTGCGAGCAGAACGCTTCCTGGATCTATGCTTACAGAGTTCGTAGGTTATGAAAGGGTGATACGACAGCTCTGGGCAGATTGAAGTTGTTTCCAGCAGACTGGAAAAGCAGTTATATTTCCATTTCTTCTTGTACATAGTGATAATGGTTTGGTTATCTATCTTTAAATGTTGTCTAATCCCTTAAGTTCTGCCAGCATTGTTGTTCAGTTCATTTTTAGTTTTATGTCACTGCTAACAGCGTGGGTATAGAGGTATCGTTATGTCTCCTAGACGATTTTCCCTTTGCCAAAGAAAGGGAAAATAAGGTTTATCCTAAACCTGCTCAGATGCCATTCAGGGAAAAATTCTTAAAGCTGTTTTCGTTTCTTTTTATCTGGGTATGTTCTCATGTACCGTGTTTCTATCAGTGGTATTTCTCAGTTTAATGACTAGTATTTGCTGCAACAGGAAGCAAGGGCACGTGATGATACTTGCAGTGTTGTCTTTTTCTTGTTAAATATGATTTCGCCTATGGGAAAAGAGATTTTGAGGAGCAATTTATGGAAAGGAATAGTGAATACTATTTTTTCTGCATATGAACTTTTCTTTAACCTTAAATGCCTTTGTGTTGTAAAAGCTATGTGAAAAAACAGGTGATCTCCTGCTGTGTGAAGGACTTTGCTATCGAGCTTTTCACGTGAGCTGCCTTGGGCTCTCTGGAAGACCAGCAGGAAAATTCGTTTGTAGTGAATGTACATCAGGCAAGTTTGTCCCTTTGTATTAAATTTTAAAAAGAAAAGGTGTAATTTTCCCATACGTTGTTGCAGGAAATCATCCCATGCAGGTTATGTATCTGAACAAACTGTACTTTCCTCTTGGTGCCTGATGCTGTGGAAATTCATGTATTACCATTAACTGTGCCATGATTTAGGATACTCGCTCTATTTTCAGTGAGAAATCTCTTGCAGATTGGTTGATTTGCTCTGAATTCCACTGCCTTAATAATTGCAGACTGTATCTGTCTGTGTACAATTACAGAGTAGATTTAAGGTCTGCCTCAAAGACCTAAGAAATCCATGGGAAAAAAAGCAGCAAATGAAACACTTTAAGTCTTTTCTCAGTTCTTTTTGTGTCTGCATGTATCTTTTGCTTTTCCCATTAAAAGACCACCTTACTGCTATTAATTTAATTTGCTTTTAATCCTGCAATAACTGCTTGGAAGCCCTTAATCTCAAAATGTTACATGAAGATTTGTGTTCTTGCTCATAAACTCAGTTCAGTCAGGTGGTGAACCTTGCTGGAGAAAAAAGACTTCTCCTAAATAAGGTTGTTCCAAGCAGTCCAGAGAGAAGACTGGAGGATACTCGTCCTTAGTTTGTGGACTTACAAGTCAAATTTTACAGGATTGCTAACAAATTAGGATCCTATTTCATTGTCCTAAAAACAAAATTCAGAGTTGTCCTGGCATACTGAGACTTATGAATAAGAACACAAAAGCAGATCAGTGAGGCTTTGAGTATTATATGCACACATTAACTGTGGTGGATTTCCATTGTAACTTTATTTTTGTTGTGTTTTATTTATCTGTATCTAAACAAATCAGTATTGAACACTGAAGAGTCAAAGCAGATAAATTGCTGCTTCGAATAATGGAATTAAAAAATCAAACAAAAAAAAAAAGCTCTTCCCCCCCACAACAAAAACTCCCAGTGTTTTAAATACACAGGTCTGAATGAAAAATTAGTTACAGGATTTTTATTATTTTTGCCACTAGGTGTGCATACCTGCTTTGTGTGTAAAGAGAGGAAGGCAGATCTGAAGCGCTGTGTTGTATCCCACTGTGGAAAATTCTACCATGAAGCCTGTGTGAAAAAATTCCATCTAACCGTGTTTGAGAACAGGGGTTTTCGATGTCCTCTGCACAGCTGCCTCAGTTGTCATGTTAGTAACCCCTCCCATCCACGAATCTCAAAAGGTAGTTTCATTTTTACATGTTTATGACTGATAAATAAGTCTGTTTATGGTATATTGAGGTAAGGAATCTGCTCATGCTGTAGTTCCTCACTGTATTACAGGCATACAGGTACTACTGACTGATTCAGGTATTGCAGCAAGACTTGCTGAATGTGAACATACAGTGAGGAGTGAGTTCTTTATTCAGAGAGTGGTGATGCCCTGGCACAGGCTGCCCAGAGAGCTGTGGGCCCCCCATCCCTGGAGGCACTGAAGGCTGGGTTGGATGGGCCCTGGGCAGCCTGATTTGGTGGGGGGCAACCAGCCCACAGCGAGGAGCTGGGACTGGGTGGGCTTTAAGGTCCCTTCCACCCCAAAGCATGCTATGATTTTGTATGATTCTGTGCATCTTGGGAAACATTTGTAAACACAACCGTGTGACTGAGAAAAGATTGTCTGCTCTGTCCATAGCTGAAGCCTTTGTATTTAAATGTGGTGGTGCTTTAAGCTCGGTATAATGTTCTCTAAAAATCTTTGTTAATTCAGTGTTGTTCTGAAAGTAAAAATGCAAACCTTGCAAACATAATTGAAACATTTCTGGTGTTAACCAGCAGTAATACTATTTGTGAAGAGCAAGTGCTAAACGGGTTTTGTTCAAAGATAAATATGGCAGTGTTCTGCTTTGCTAGGAAAGATGATGCGCTGTGTTCGCTGTCCTGTTGCATACCATGCTGGAGACGTGTGCATTGCTGCGGGATGTGCAGTCATCGCTTCCAACAGCATTGTTTGTACGAATCATTTCACTGCCATGAAAGGAAAAAGTCATCACGCGCATGTCAATGTGAGCTGGTGCTTTGTGTGTTCCAAAGGTAAACTGATGCAAAGCTCTTACGTAGGTGCAGCATCAAAATGTCTTATTCTTCAATTTAAATTTTATTTTACTAATCTCTTTACAGAAAGCTATTAGAAATGTGGCGTGCTAAGTTCATCTCCCTTAGGTATTGAAATACCTTCAAGTTGGCTTGTGCTGCTTCTAGTTTTTGAGCGTCCTTTCTTTGCAGATATGATTTATTAAAGAATATTTTCACTCAGACCAGAAACCTGATCTAATTCTTTACCAGAGATGCATAATGATAAATCCTTCTTTGTCCTTTCCCCTGTGTTCAGTGTACTGAAGCTTTTTGTGTTTCCTTATTGCTCATACCTAATATTAAAACATAAATATTTTAAGAGTTGCTTTTACTTCAGAAGCAGACAGCAAATTGAACCCATATTAGTGTCTGGAGTGCCACTAATTAAGGGCTTTTTGCTTTATGCTGACTAATAAATTTACTTCTTATTGAGAAGCACAAAATGCATCGTGCTGATTAAACCCTGGCAATGAGAATTTACCTGATTTGTTAACAAATTAACATGCAGCATAGCAGCTTACTAAGCAGCAGCTAACTTTCTGATGGTAATTCATGGAACAGGCAATCTCATCCCTACCTCTTCTCCAGAGGGGAAAAAATAGAGAAAGAGAAATTTAATTAGACTTAATTTTTGTTGTTAAAATGTTACATACAGTGAATTATTAATATATATTAAGCTATGTTAAATATATTGTAGTCATTAAAGTAAAAAAAAATAATTTCCCTGTGGTGCATTATTCTGGCTTTTATATCATTAGCTTGCTTTTTAATTTGTATGTATTTACTAACTGGAGTCTGCCAGGCATTCAAATCAGTTAAGACCATTTGGTTTCTGTGCACAGCTAGATGATGTGTGTTTGTTGCAAGCTGGCATGTTTTAACTACTTTTTTCTGGCAGACCCTACCACAAACCTCACTGCTTTGAATCTGGTTGGAATGCAAATCTTTCTTTTTTGTCTTGATGTTTGTCAATCTTTTTTTTCTCTTGGAAGGAGGAAGCTTGTTGTGCTGCGAGTCGTGTCCTGCAGCATTTCACCCGGACTGTTTAAACATCGAAATGCCAGATGGGAGCTGGTACTGCAATGACTGCAGGGCAGGGAAGAAACTCCATTTCCAGGATATTATTTGGGTTAAACTGGGAAATTACAGGTCTGATGAAAAATTTGTTTTCTTTTACAGTGATATTGGCATGTTTTAATGAAGGATCATAGAGTTGGCTGTTCTGTGCCTTGCTGCACGCAGATTTCCCATGTCTCTAAGCTGGGAACCACATCTCCCTTAGAGCTTTGCCTGTGCTTAATACCCCTGTTCCAAGACTTGAAAGCTTTGCTATTGCTCTCTGCCACAGCAGTGCCCATACAAGACTCCTTGCAGACTTCTCTGCTTTCGCCATATTGGCCTTCTGCCCCTTGTTTCAGAGTTCTTTTCAAATAACTGAGTGTATATAACTTGTAATAGCCTGAATCACTGTCTTCCTTGGCTGGAAAATAAGTCGCTCAGGCTGTTAAGAGTTTTACACTTACATTGAGATTTGAGTGTGATAGAGATGGGTGGGGTTTGCCCTAGAAAGCTTTACTAGCTGTTACACACTGTCACTTGACCTTTAACAAGTATAGAGATTGCAGACTTTGTTAAAGATGTTATTTTTGCTAACTAATGCAAGGAGATTTATGTGTATCTTGCAAGCAGGCAGAAGTCCCATAGATCTGAGTGTCAGGCTTTCCTTTTCTACCCAATCTTCTTCCTATGCCTACTGAGCTGGAGCGTGGGCAGGAATTTATCTCCTTCTGGGTGTTTTGTTTTGCATTTTATTTGGAGGCGCTTTGGTTTTTTTCATCCTATATTTGGAAGTAATAATCAGTAATTGCTTTTCAAAGTGATTTCGTTAAGCTTACATACATTTTGTGTTTTTCTGTTTGTATTTCTGTGCTAGATGGTGGCCTGCAGAAGTTTGCCATCCGAAAAATGTTCCCCCAAATATCCAGAAAATGAAGCATGAAATTGGAGAATTTCCTGTATTTTTCTTTGGTTCTAAGGATTACTTTTGGACACATCAAGCACGGGTGTTCCCTTATATGGAGGGAGACAGAGGGAGTAGATACCGGGGGATTAAAGGAATTGGAAAAGTCTTCAAAAATGGTACATAGTTAGAAGTAAAGGAAGAATAATCTTGTTATATACATGCTTATATACGTGTAAAAGACTAGCATCTAACTGAAATTCTTTCTGATGACTTCGGTTTTTTGGGAGGCAAAGCTTGAATAGAACTGGGAAGCAGAGTAGAACTGATTAATTTGTTAAGAGTGTTAACACTCTAGAAACATTGTTTGCAGGAAAATTGATGGTTTAGCTAGGAAGTAGAAATGCTTCTTTAACACAGGTCAGCTTGAGGAGAGTCATTTTCTTTCTAGTGTTTTTGTTGATACAACAGTCCTTTCTTTTTTCTTAAGCTTTGCAAGAAGCTGAAGCTCGATTTCGAGAAATAAAGCTACAGCGAGAAGCCAAAGAAACCCAAGAAAGTGAACGTAGGCCTCCACCATACAAGCATATTAAGGTAAAGAAGACATGACAATGGATACTCGGAGATCTTGGGAATCACTGGGGAGGAAAAGCTGAATAGATGGGGAGCAAAGGTTGTAATGTTGTGTTGGTAACTGAACTTTACCTTTAGAGTCACGTAATTAGGAAATTTCATTACTTTTGGAACATCTATTATTGCAAAAACAACTTATTAACAACTGTAATAATTCTTACCATAAATGCTAATGTTTTAAAGTGATGTTTGAACTATTTTAATGTATCATTCAGGTGAATAAACCTTGTGGTAAAGTGCAGATATATACTGCTGACATTTCTGAGATTCCCAAGTGCAACTGCAAACCCACAGATGAAAACCCTTGTGGCTTTGATTCTGAGTGCCTCAATCGGATGTTGATGTATGAATGTCATCCACAAGTTTGTCCAGCAGGAGAACGATGCCAAAACCAGTGCTTTACAAAACGTGAATACCCTGAGACAGAGATCATCAAAACAGATGGGAAAGGATGGGGTTTGGTTGCAAAGAGGGACATTAAAAAGGTATGAATCATTCTTGCCTAGCAAGGAATTGTTAACCTGTGGTGTTGTTTGTGGGTTTGGTATATACTTCACTAGTGATATTCGGTATCTTTCAGGGAGAGTTTGTGAATGAGTATGTTGGTGAGCTCATTGATGAAGAAGAATGTATGGCAAGAATCAAATATGCACATGAAAATGACATTACTCACTTCTATATGCTTACTATTGATAAGGTAGAGTATTTAAAAAGTTATTCCCTGCTTTCAGTTGTAACAGTACTTTGATTTCTCTCCTCTTCCTTCTTTTGATCACCCTGGTGGGTGACTCAGCTGTCTGTGATGCTCTGCTGTTTCAAATATTCATAAGTTTGTATTTCTGTGCCTGCTTCCTCCCTTCTCAGTGTGCAATGTATCTATCTCATTGACTCAAAATAGGTAATGTAATATCACATATATTAAAATCCATACATTTTATGCTTTGATGCTTGAAATCGACTACAGCAGAACTATTCATCTGCCCAATCTCAAGAGGAAGTGTGAACTTTTGGGAAATACTGCAGTAGAAAGAATTACTGTTAATGATACTTTTACTACAGTTTCAAGTTAAAAAAACATAGATTGTGTGAAGTGTGGAACATAATTTTAAGGCTGCATCCTATATTGGGCATTTAAACTTATGTTTTTAACTATCTACCCCTTCCTTTGCCTACATTAAAAAGAAGCTCATGGCTTTTGTAGCAACTTTTTCCTGCGTGTACCATTTTCATTAGTAGCCAGTTAGCACAGCACAAATTGATTCTGGCCAGTGCAGCAAATTAATTTAGCATCTGCAGTTTTCTCTGCAGCTCTCTGAGTGTTTTGTTCCTGAGAGGAAGAAATGGGAAACCAGTAGACCAGGGCAGACTTATTATAAACACGTGCTTTTTACATTGCTTTAGTCTCCAGACAGCTATTTAGGAGAAAAAAAAGTATCCCCAAGGAAAGAAGAGTTGGATGCCAATCCTGCATATTTTTGCAGTCCTAATCACTTTTTCCCCAAGACTGTTCTGCTCTGTATTTCTGCCACTACTGGTTTTTGTTAGCTCTGTAACCTAGGAGCTATCGCACAGGCATTGCCTAAGAAAGATGAAACCATGTTTGTCTTAATGCTCGAGTGTCTCACTTCTTTACTAAACTGGCATACATCATCAGCTTGTGAAGTAGGCTGATCTGGGGAGAGAAAGCTGGTAAGAAACTTTTAATCTCTGTAAGTAATCGTTCAGGGACTTGGTGAATAACATAAAGCATAGTACTTGTAAATGCATAACAGCTTTTTGAATGCAAAGCAAAAGGTAAACAAATTGAGTTTTGAGGCTTTTTGGAAGGACCACCAGAGTGCTCACAAGAACACATATCCTGCCACGTGGCTGAGATGGGTTCTGGGACAATGTGAGCTAGATCAAGAGTATTGCTTTGGGAGTGTCTCATTTCAGTCCCCATGGGACACTACAGTTTTCAATACAACATGTAACATCGATTTACTTTGGCTTTTCTGGGTAGCCAAACCATGTCTGTTTTGAAAGTAAAAACATTCATTCTGTTGCTGATTTGATCTCCAGGACCGTATTATTGATGCTGGCCCCAAAGGGAACTATTCTCGTTTTATGAATCACAGCTGCCAACCAAATTGTGAAACTCTGAAATGGACGGTAAATGGAGATACTCGTGTTGGCCTGTTTGCTGTGTGTGATATTCCTGCAGGTATTCCACTTTATGTTGGCTTTATTTTAATTCTCTAAACTAAACATTTTATGTAGTTATATTAAATCATTTAACTGATTCACTAAAAGTAATTTTGTAAAGAACTCAGCACATGGAAGAGATGCTTTTGGCCTTTTAATGTATTGCTTCTTAACAGTGAATCCTACAACTGTTTTTTATTGCTTACTTCTAAGGTTTCACCAAAGAGCTCTTATTATCCACGCACTCATTTTGTGTTGTCTGTCAAAAGAGTAGAGCAGTTTTTGTTTTAGAGACCTTTCTGCATCTTTTCTTCAACTGAAGAAAAACTTAAGTGTATCTTAAAAGGATGTTTGAAACTATGTGTATTCTGGTTTGTGTACACAAACGCAGACACGTGTGTACGTATAGCAACAGATCAAGTTGCATTGCACATATCTACAGCTATATATGGATATATAGGTACGTGGCCTATGTGGTCAGTGCTTGTGATCGGTAAAAAAGGGAAAAAAAAACTTACCAGAATAGATCAGCAAGCAAGTACAAAACCAGAAGACAGATAATAAAACCTTGATTTGTTGTAATAATTTTGATAGACTTCATTACCTCGTCCTTCGTAATAAAGCAGTACATCTTATCTCACTCAGGGACAGAGCTGACTTTCAATTACAACCTTGACTGTCTGGGCAATGAAAAAACAGTCTGCAAATGTGGTGCCCCAAACTGCAGTGGATTTCTTGGGGACAGACCAAAGGCAAGTAATATGTCACAAGAATTTGACAATGTCTTGTCTAACTATTAGCCTTGTTTTTTTCCTTTTGAGATATGTGTAGGCGAACCAGTTTTATGTTGTGGTAAAAGTTATTCATGTCAGGTCCTGAATGGGAAAGATGGCGAGGTACTGGCACTAACTGGAGTAGCCTTCAGTTGGTCCCAGTCCCCTTGGAGGTATGTAGGAGCTAGACACTAGAAGAAACTGACCAAAGGCACTCAAGTGCTGCACTAGACTGAATTCAGGGTGAGGTGGTAGCACGAAACTGAGTGTTATTGAGTAAATCCTATCCTGCCCTGGCTACAGCCAGTGAAGTTATTCTGACTTCTCAGCTCGTACTTGTCTGTTTAAAATTGAGAATGTGTGCTAAGTTCATTAAAGATCTTCCAATTGAAGTTTAACTAAGTAATAAAAAATGGGAGTTTTAAAAAGTAAACATAATGGGGGGGGGAAATAGATTTAAAATTGTGTCACAATTCATGTGTGATTTAGGTCACATTAATTTAAAACCTGTCATCCAGACCTGGCGAAGGACTGCAAGGGAAGGCACAAGCATGTTCCCAAGTGAAAAAAAAATTCTCAGCTGTCAATATAAAAACCTTCTTGTTCACACTGCTCAGCATCAGGTGCTTCAGAGGGTGGGCTTAAAATCTCCAGAATTTGCATTGCTATTTTTCCTTAAGGGAGAGGCTTAAGCAGGGTTTCATATAAGCTTGTGATCAGTTTATGCAGACAGCCATGAAGAAATGAAATATTACAGTTCCATTCAGCAGGACTCTCTGCGTTGGTGGATAGAATAGTATAAAATGTAAGCAGAAAATGTCAGATTAAAATAAGGGTATGGTTTGGTGTATTCTTACTAGCACTTTTGGTTTGGTGTATTCTTACTAGCACTTTGGACACAGCTATAGTTCCTGAAATTCTTCTGTCTGTTCTTTAAAGAAGAGAAATGGATGCTGGTCTGCACCAAGTTAAATTTTTGCCTGTATGCATTGTCTACCAGAAATGCCAACAGTTTTGCTTATTTGTGTAAAATTTTTCTTTTGCAAAACTGACATTTACAGATTTGCAACTTAATCTTTTAGAATTCTTCCACTAATGCCTCAGAAGAAAAAGGCAAAAAGACCAAAAAGAGAACACGGAGGCGTAGAATGAAAAATGAAGGGAAGAAAGAATCTGAAGATGATTGTTTTCGTTGTGGTGATGGAGGCCAGCTGGTGTTGTGTGACAGGAAATCTTGTACTAAAGCCTATCATCTCTCCTGTCTTGGTTTAGTGAAACGTCCTTTTGGTGAGTCACCTTGCCTAACTTGACCAAATAACTCATTTATTGCACAGAAACCTCACAATTATCTCTTTGAAATCATTCTTTTTGTATAGTGAGAACTGCACAGTGTATAGAATCATAGAATCACCAAGGTTGGAAAAGACCTCCAAGATCAACCAGTTCAACTGTCCACCTATCACCAATATTTCCCACTAAACCACGTCCCTCAGTACAACATCTAAGTGCTTCTTGAACTCCTCCAGGGACGGTGACTCTATCACCTCCCTGGGCAGCCCATTCCAGCACTTGACCGCTCTCTTGGAGTATTTCCTGATACCCAACCTGAATCTCTCCTCCCTCTAGTCCTATTGCTAGTTACATGGGAGAAGGGGCCAACTCCCATCTCACCACAACCTCCCTTCAAGTAGTTGTAGAGAGTGATGAAGTCTCATCAGCCCTGACTCTCCTCAGCCCTGAGCTTCCTCTTCTCCACACTGAACATTCCCAGCTCCTTCAGCCACTCCTCATAAGACTTGTGCTCCAGACCCCTCGCAGCTTCATCGCCATTCTCTGGACACGCTCCAGGGTCTCAATGTCTTTCTTGTAGGCCCAAATGTGTTTCTTGGGCCCAAAACTGAACACAGTACTTGAGGTGTGGCCTCACCAGAGCTGAGTAAATGGGAACGATCACTTCCCTGCTCCTACTGTGGAGCAACACAGTGGCAACACTATTTCTGATACAAGCCAAGATGCCATTGGCCTTCTTGAGTATTCTGCCAGCCTGCAATTTCTGAGAAATGCTACCAAATAAAACTTGAATAATTTCTTCTACTTGAATTCACTGCTGTATTTAAATGAAAGGATGTCAAGTCTGCTACTTAATAATGTCAGATGAGCTTCAGAAGTATGATGTAGCATTTTGATTTTTGAGATTGGCCGTAGTATTTGCTGTCTCATCTCGTTTTCTGAAGGACATTGTATGTTGTTCAGATGTTAAAAGGCAAAACTCTTTAAAAGACAATGACATTTTTTACTCCCTACTAATTTGTTCTGTTTCTGATCATAGGGAAGTGGGAGTGTCCTTGGCACCACTGTGATGTTTGTGGCAAACCTTCTGTTTCATTCTGCCACTTCTGCCCAAATTCTTTTTGCAAGGAACACCAAGATGGGACAGTACTAAATTCTACATTGAATGGACAGTTATGCTGCTCTGAACATGTTCTCGGGGTGGATTCTGTTGAAACTCAGAAGACTGAGAAACCCCGCAAAAAACTGAGCAAGTTGAAGCCTAAGAGAAAGGAGAGGAGCAGATGGATGAGAGCCGAATGCAAATAGTCTTGGACTGCAGTTACTACTGCCAACACTATCTTGTAGATAAGTTGTGAATATTACCAGGGAAGGACACAATTTTACATATATTCTGTAAAGGTTATGGGGGGGAGGGGAGGGGGGGGGATGTTTTGTTTTGTTTTATTTTGTTTTTGTTTTGTTTTATAAATCCACTGAGCCAACCACAGCAGTCTTCTGCTGCTTCTGCACTGATAACGAACTACATAGTTCAGAAAATTTCAGGACAAACCAAACTTATTACTCAGCATTACAGTTACACTTGAATTGTTACGAATGTATAAGGTTCCCTCCAATCTTCTTTCAGGTTGGAGGTAGGTTAATATCAAAGCAAGTAGGCATAAACATAGATTTTGAGATAGTATTTGTCAATCAACAGATGTTTAAAATAGTATATCCTTGAAAGAAGATATTAGCTCTTGAGTCCTTTTAAGTGAGAAATGGCTTGGTCTGTGGTCCCAATGAGATTTGCTTGCCTTGTGTGTTTTTGAGCAAGTGCTTGGATGCCATTCATGACCCAGGTGCATATCTGACAATAACCACACACAGAACAATTTGTGCTCTTCTGAAATAACTCTCCAACGATTCTTAACCCGTATTTTTCAGTATCTTCCCACTGAGATTTATGGTACGTGGTGGGAAAGGCACTCCCTGTACCAGAGATGGGAAATCTTGCACTGTAAGAGACCTTTTTCTATACTATTTTTTCCTGTATTTCATTCCAGCAGAATAGAATTGATTTGATCTTGCAGAGCTGTACAGGACTGGATTTAAAGTCTTGCAATCTAGGCCCAGTGCCCTAGGATTTTTTGTTGTTGTTGTTTTAGTAAGAATAAATAATACCAAGCCTACTGTTTGGAGAAAAAATGTTTCTTTTCTCAATGCCAAACAATGCAGAGGCAGACATTTCTTTGGAATTCTGGGATTCCAGGCATTGCAACTTTGTGGTAATGCAAAAAATGCCCAAGGAGGAACAAAAAAGAAAACCATGGATGAGACAATGGAACAGAAGGTGAAGCTTGACTAGCTGCCCAAGTGCTAAATCTAATTTATCCAAACAACTAATTAAAAGTGAAGGCAATTTTTGGAAAAAAAAAAAAGCATATGAGAAACAGTTTTAACATGAAGTTTAGCCTGACTCCACTCCTTTTTGTACAGTTTATGTAGAACTGGCTACTTGACTTGGCAGGCAGCTCGAAATCATTCTTGAGTTTTTTTAGGAGCTGTGCTCTTGACTAGCTGATGACCAGTGTGTTGTGTCAGCAAAGCTGCTTTGAGTTCTTTGCTCCCATGGGGTTTTCCTCTTGCAGTGAGATAAAAACACAAGATTTAGTTTTAATGGAAATAATACTAGAACTAGGAAAAAATGGTAGAGAAAAATGTCTTCACCTGTTTCTTCCCAGTGCGTGTCATTGGTGTGTGACTGATTAGGCAGTGTTTTGACTTGTGCCGTGTTATCCAGCCTATGTAAACAGAATGTGTGCCTTCATTGAAGAATTTGTGCATGTTCTAGCTTAGTTTCCCTTTGGTAGTGCAGAAACTCTGTGTAGCCATTTTGAAATTGAAGCCTTGCTATATCATAAAATGTTTCTTTCCAAACGTTTTTTCTTCAGAATTTGATTACAGATTTAGATTTTGGAATTACTGAAATCCCCACTTGTTCCCAACACTTGAAACTTTGGTGTTATTAGGAGTTATTAACTGAAACAGATTTTAAATTTAGCCTTGTCCTTGTCCTGAACTCCTCGATTTCTATTTTGTAAGCAAACAGATGTGTTTTTTTCTTTTAACCCATTCTATAAACACTGTTGGAAAGTGTTGGGTTTTTTTCCCCAAAATAATTATATAATAATAATTATGGATAAAACAGCTCAGTTCAAAATGGGGGGAAAATGTTTCATGTTTGTGTCTTTAAACTGGTACGCCAAGCCTTGCACTCAAGGAAACAATGAAGATTTCTTAGTTGAGTTGGAGGGAAATTTACCCTCTTCTATAGATATTTGTTATACCAGGACTGAAGCATAGGCCTGTGCCTAAAATGAAAACCAAAAAAATGTGTTGTGTACATTTCTATCGCGTCTTCAGGAAAGTGAGATCAGGTAGTAAAATAGAAAGATTATCCTCATCACTTTGAAACAAAATGAAGGAACTTTATGTCATTGGGACCATTATTTGTTTGAATTCTGTACCATGTAAGGAAGACTTTATAAGAATACCTTTAAATAAGTTATTATAAAATCTTACCTTTACATTCCACTGTTTTTATAATTTGTTAAATCTGTAGTTGTTTCATTGTTTTTTCTCTTCGTACATAGACTCCGGCACCCTGGAACAGTTACCCCCAGTGTCCTAATAGGCAGATTCCCCCTCCTAGAAGCCACCAGCTCCAGTAGTTACTGATGTCACTGCTGCAGAAACACCATCGGTTATCAGATCGGTCGTGGAGCCTACAGCCCCCTGCCCTCCTCCTAGGTGGGGCCACAAACACATTTAGTAAGGCAGGATGCAGGACAGCCACCCCTTTTGTATCTGTCTGTGGGTAAATAAAGACTTCAGTGTTCAAAGAAATTCCTCTCAGAGCTCTTTTCGTGACATAAATTGACACAAACCAACCTTAGCAAGTGGCTTTTGACTTTCTGCTTCCTTCTACCTCTTCTCTGCTCTTTGCTACTAAGCTGCTTGGTCAATGGAAGCTTGCATCACAGAGGAAAAGGCTGCAAACTAGAAGTTTGCTCTTAAGCGGACAGGGAATCGTTTCTTTTGCTGATTATATGCTTTGGAGATTGATCCTTAAAAGAAGTGTGGACCCTGTGCTTCCTTATACATGTACTGACCTCATGAGCTTCACCTCAGTCATCAGAACTGACCTGGTAGAAGTTTTGCTTCCAATTCAGAAAAAGTGGTTTTTAATGAAGACTTCTCTGCCTTACTCTGCGGCACTGGGAAAAGAGACTGAAGTATTGTTTTAAAAAGACAACAAAATAAGTTTTTTCCAAATTCCTTCTCCCACTGTTCAAATACAAGGGAAAACAACCTTGGAAAAATTGAGCTTTCTCATGATGCAACTCAATACTTCTTAGCATCAACAACTTAAAGATTTTCTGTTATAAATTCAACAAAATAGCATCTAAGCATGGCATGTTATGTGACATTAAATTATGTACTTAGCATCTTGCCCATAGCAGTAGAAGTCTGTATTTCCTTTTCCAGCAAACTCATCAAAGCTGGAACATGATAGGTAAATTCAGAATGTGCTGCTCCTTTATCACGTGAGCAAGCCTAGAAACCATTTTCAGTTGAATATGTTAGAAGAATTTGCTTACAATCTAGGAATAATCAAATTAAAATGTCTGTTTTGTTCCATAGCTTTGTGTTTACGGTCAGTTTTTAGAGGCTTTTCTATTTGAATTTTCTTTGAAAAGCAAAATACCTTGAAAGATTAATGCAATTTTTCCACAGCGTTGAATCACATTCCATGTCTGTTTGAGAAACTTCAGTGTCTTATTAAATATTAAAACTTATTCCTAGTTACTTAAGAAGTTGCTATTTTTTTTAACAGATCTATCTAGCTATTTTTGCAGTTTATATTTTTTTTTCTTAATTTATTTTTTAGTCAAACGCACGCTGTTTGAGCATGGTTTGGAAGTGAAAGAACTGGATGTTTTCATAGTGAAAACTTGCACTCTGCGATTTCCTAAGAGACTTGCTGGAAATAATACTTAGGGCTCACGTAGAGGTGATAATGATTGTATTTTGGCTTGTTTTCACAGTGTTGCTTACCATAAAAAATGACATTTTTTGCAGTCAGTTTCTCCTGTTACAGTGCTGTTTTCTGTTACTCAGAATTTCACAGACTTCAAGTATTTTGAGCTGCAATCGTGCAGTCCTGCAAGCTCCATTCAGCTGTCACTGCTGTTGTTCCTGTTTGGTCAGGTTTTAATTCAACCACATTTTTCTTTCCCAGCCAGGTTTTAGGTCAACGCCAGTTTCCTTCATGGGTGGAATCTCTGTGCCTGACTGCAGCTGTGCTTCTTCAAGAGCAAATCCGAAATATGCTTTGGCACTGCTGGCTTAGTGTTCTGAAATAACCTGGTGCTGTGTTATCAGGACTCCATCCTTTTGCTGCTCCTGCAGAAAGCCCTGACTGTGCACTGAGAAACTTAGTGCCTGCGTGCTATGGACAGCATCAGAGAGCCCAGCAGAAGGGCCATGCACACTCTGTCCCCCAGCTCTCAGGACTGAAGAACAGGAAAGGGTGTTGGGCATCATTTCTTGCAGCCACAAGGAGAGGTCCTGTCCTGTCCCCAGGTGGTCACTGCTGCAAAGAACCCATTTCTTCTTAGAACAGGGGATTCTGAGAGCCAGCGCATTTCAAGCAAGTAGCTGGGAGTGAGGAGAAGGTGGGAAGAAAAGAACAAAGCATGTGGACGGGAGGTAACCAGCTTTCAGTGGGAAAATGGAGACTTGAGGGCAGAAAGGGTCTTTGGATGGGACTGAGCTTGGTGTGTTGATGCTGCTGCTGATGCAGGTGGCAGGGTTACCAGCTGCATTATTGCTTACCACAGAGGATAACACACCTCTCTTCCTGTCCATTTACTCATCTAACAGATCTGAAACAGATCACAGCACTGCTTTTTTCAGCTGTTGTTTATTTCCTTTTTCTTGGAAAGCACAATAACCTCCCCGGAGATGAGAAGAATGAGCAGTGGAGGGCAGCAGCCACTTAACCCCTACCAGCTGGGTTCCTTCAGCTGGCTGCTGCTGCTTTAGCTCAGGGAAAGGACTCCATGAGAAGTAACACCTGCTTCCACCTCCATGCACACTCGCTTGAAAGCACAGCTCTCATAATAGTAAGTACTATTTTTACCAGGGCTCTCAGAGCTGATGAGGCACAGCGCTGTGGAAGTGTCACCGCTGGATGATCTGAGCAGGGCTTTGCAGCCAGCCTGGTATGTGAATGAATTTCACTGGAGAAGCAGGAGGAAGGTGTTGCTTCTGTAGCTCTGTGGAGTAACATGAAGCACTGCGTTAGAGACCGCAGCAGGAAATGGAAGGGACACATTTGTCCAGGAATCAACCATAAGTTCAGCTGCACGTTTTCCCACAGTTGAGAGGAAGGGGAAAGTTTGGGATTCCTTTTTTTCATTTGACCCTCGATTTCAAGTATAGATAAAGTTTTGAGAATGGCAAATAAATAAGTAAATGTGCATATTCCTTAAAGGAAGAATATCTGTGTTAGTTCCTGCTCGGGTAGAAACAGTTGTGTTGTGGGAATCCCAGTATCTGCAGCAGCTGCTCTTTGCTCTAGCTGACTGCTGACATTTCTTAAGGAAAGGAAAAAAAATACTTATTGTGAGTGGAGCTAGGAATTAAAGGGGAAGCTTCTGCTGTTCAGTCCATTTCATGTAGAACAGCATCTAGCTAGGTTGGTTACCACAAAAAGTCACAGCTGAAAAATGATTTGCATTTCATTTGTCAGTAGTTATTTTAGCTATACAGGAATGGGTTGGTGATTTTTCACATATGCACACACGTGCATTACCATGCAGAAAAGGGAGCACAGTGCTTGCAGGTAGCATTTCCCCCACTACCAGCCAGCATACACCGGCTCTCTGTGCTCCATCACTCCATACGTTGTGTGCCGCTCTGATCCTCGCGGTAGCAACAGGGACTTCAAAGACTTTGTGCTAGATTCTTGCCTTCTTCTCAGAATTAGTACAAAGATTATAAGAATTGCACCTGTAAGGAATGTAAACAGTGATAGCTAACATTCAACGAGGAAGGTAAAGCATCAAGTGTTTGTTCTAGTGCTTTCTGACTGCTGTATTATCTCCTGGTTGATTTTTTACAATAAGGGTGGTGAGGCATTGGCACAGGATGTCCAGAAGTGGTGGGTGCCACATCCCTGGAGGCACCCGAGGTCAGGCTGGACAGCACGCGATGGAGCTGTATGTGTCCCTTTCATTGCAGGGGAGTTGGACCAGATGACCTTTCAAGGTCCCTTCCAACTCAATTCTACGATTCTAAACAAAGTGCTTTCTTCTCCTTTGGCTTGAGCACAGAGAACAACTGGCTAACTAACAACTCAGCTTTGGCATTTCAGATTTACCCTGAAAGATGTGGAGAACAGCAGTGGGTTTTAACGAAGTAACTCAGTCACTTGCTTTTCTGCTCCTGCTTGCGCTCTCTGTTCCACGTAACTCTCATTTCCCACCTGGCATCTTATCCATGCAGACTCACTGCACTTGTTCCGCCACGCTGAAAGGCTGTGCTGAAAAATGCTTTTGCTCTGTATGGTGCTTATAATGAAGCTCGAGAAGTAACTGACCTAGATCAACTCTGAGTCTAGACTGGCATCAGGACTGTCAGAAAAAATTTCTTTTAGGCTGTGCATAGACATGGAAATAATTGCAAAATATCAAGTACTGTGACATTTCTGTTTGTCTGTTTCTGGCAGAAGCATAATCAGGGAAAATTGATCTAAACAGAAGAGCGTGAATCTGTCACTGTGATGCAATATGTCCAGACAAATGCATCCAAATTTGGATTGCGTGAGCAGACAACCTCACAGCAAACAATTAAGCTGTTACCCAGCCATGAAATGCTGGCTGGCTCCTGCGTGGGCTGCTTCTTTTGCCCCTCTTCTTAGCAAATGCCACCCAGGTCTTCACTGAGGAACATTGTTCTGTGGCTCAGACTTGTTTCTCAGAAAAGCTGATTAACTGGCCATTGTTCTGCATGGATGACCCCTTCATGTGCTTCATTTAAAACTACTTTTACTACTTTAAAACTACTTGCTTTAGCTGGCATCTTTTGGACTGTGGCCTGACACAGCAGAACCTGGGCACCTGACGTGGAGGAGCTTCTGCATGATCCCTGGTTTGGGACTACATCTCCAGACATCCCCAGGGACAGGGCCCTGTCTGGTCCCTGTGGCAGCGCTCCAGCGCCTGCCCAGCACAGCAGTGCATTTAGTCCTTATTTATGTCTGTGGGGTCCTCAGGTGCTAAGACAGGACTTTGATAAGAACTACTAATGCTGCTTTGTTGTTGGAGAAGCTTTGCTCCCTGTTTGCTACGAGGATTAAGATCTGATTGATCTCCCCTCTGCCTTCTAACAGCAGTGAGCTGGACTGGAGGATGAGCGTTTGGGGGCACAAAACTGTTGAGCTTACAACAGAAACTCGTGGGCATGTGGCTTTCATGCCTTAGAATACCAGGAGATGAAAGCCTCCTGTCAGCAGACCTGTTCACACAAGTGGCACTGAACACTGCACTTCTTTTTATGTGCCTGTGCAATGATCGCTCTCAGCTTGAACACTGCTATTCCAGCTTGCTCTTCTGCTCTTTTTATCCCTAACAGTGAGAGCTGCTCTTTGTAGCATAACCTCTGATCCAACTTCCCCCCAAACTCGGACCTAAGACTACACAGTTCTTACTTTTTCCTTTGGTAAGACTATGAATGCCAATTTGGTGTTTTGGGATTAGTGCTCCTGGTGTTGCTTCCTTGCTGAAGGCTCACCCACCTGCTGGCTTCCTGCCATATCCACTAATGAGCTAATTACTGCAGGTTGCGGGTGTCTCTATTTCCCATGCCCAGTGCCTGCTTCCCTGTCACCGCACAAATGGCTGATTTTGAGCTGGAAAAGTATTAACTGAGGGCAGGGGAAATGCTTTCAGGAAAGCTGAAGTCTCATACGTGGTGGGAAATTGTCCATTTTCTTTCTTCTGGGCAAAGATATGCTACTTTTGGAGCCTGTACACACAGCTGCTTCCCAAGGATGAACAACAACCAGATATCTATTATCTTACTAGCATAATGTCCCTATTTAATATTCACTGATATCCCCACCTGCAAACGTGAAAGTACTGTCATTTGCATTGAAAGTGGTGCATAAAAATGATGAGCTGTGTGATGGAGGCACGTTTTAAAAGGCAATTTGTACATTTAAACCACTTTTAGCCTGTTAACCATATTATTGCAGCCTGACTCCTGTCTTCATACTATGACACTGTAGGTCACTGTGCCGTCAGGATGGGGAAGCCTTAAGGAAGAACAGGCATAAGGATAGGCTTATGGCTCTGCAGCCCCTTATGCTAGAAACAAGTAAAGGATGCCAGCTTTCTGCTCCCTTTTAAAGGGATAAGCAACCAAAAAGACTTACTAGAAATCCAAATTTAAGGCAACACAGTGTGCACTGTGCAGAGACATAAACAAAGAAGAGCAACGCTCACCTGCTGAGAAGAGTGCCAGGAGGACGATCACCAGTGGCGTCAGCTGGCAGGAGCTGCCCACCTTGTACAGGAAGACCTCCATGCAGAACTGGGGCGCGGTGCTGCCCATGGGGCAGAAGGCATCAGGAGGGCACTTGATCGGGTTCACATCTGGGCTCTAAACAAGAGGAAAGGTAAATTCCTCAGTGCCAAACAACGGAGGAGGTGGCAGGAGGGTAAGTGTTGCCTCAGTACTACGTATATAGCATGTGTGTAGCATGTTCCGGTGAGGCACTGGCACAGGTTACCCACACAGGTACGTGTGGGTAACCTGTGCCCCATCCTTGGAGACACTCCCCATCCTTGGAGACACTCAAGGTCAGGCTGGACGGGGCTCCAAGCACCTGATGGAGCTGTAGGTGTTCCTGTTCACTGCAGAGGAGTTGGACGAGGTGGCCTTTATGGGTCCCTTCCAACTCAAACGATTCTATGACACCTTCCTGAGTTTGGGCATGCTGTGAAACCCACTTTACAAAGTACCCACTGCCTTGCTGTCTCAGAATAGATATTAGAAATGACAGACTGAGGCAGAGGTAGGACTAGCAGCCAGCCACCTGAAGACCTACAATATCCAAGGACCAATAAATGAACCTGCTATCATTGAATTCAGGTCTTGTTGTGTTTTTAACACTTCTGTAGCTCATTAATGGATACCTCATCCCCTAACTAGGCCCTGATGCCAAGGGTTGAACAAAGCCAGCCTCCTGGTGCTCTAATTGCAACCCCACTGCTCTACAAGGGCTCTGTCTGTATTTAAGAAAAGGAAACAAGCTAAGCTAAAATTGGCCTTAATTAAAAGTGTATTAACTGTACTTGTTAATCCCAGCTGCCAAAGCAGCCAGAACAGACTCACAGGGCAGTAGTGGTTCTCTGGACACAGGTCACAGCTCTCCTGGCCCCGCTGTGGTTGGTATTCCCCTGGCTCGCAGGGCTTGCAGGCGTCATCACCCAGACCTTTGAAGGTACCTAAATAGCAAAAGAGCACATTAGCATCTGGGACTGGACCCAGGGCCTTTGCACTTGCATATGGATGAGTGTGCTTTCAAAGCCACAAGGAGAAAATGCATGAAATACTTCATGTGCATGACAAAAACTGAGCCAGAACTTTAGCAGTAGCTGGGTGGCAAAGGGGCAGGAAGGAAAGAACAAAAGTATAGGGAAGGAACCTGACCAACACCTTGTTTCAAATCTGAAAACAGAGTAGGAGTATGGTGGGAGCTGGGTTAGTGCTGAGCTGGCAGCTTTAAAGCAGAGGGAAGTTGGGAGCCAGAGCTCAGCAGAGTTTCATCCCCTTTAATTCCAAGTTCAAGCACCTTTCCCAGCTGTTTGGAGCTTGCTGAGTGCAGTGTAACTAAGCTTTGTGAGAATGACAGGTCAAGGAAGTCACAGTCTCTAAGACATTAATGCTGGTTTGCATGAAATACATCTGGCTGCATTGCTGCAGTGCAGCACAGCAATAATCATACTGGAGGAGGGCTTGGCACAACATGTCCTGCTACACTGGGACAGCCACCAGCACTTTTCCATTGCTTAGGCAGCAATGGTTTGCTCAGCTGCTGTCAGCTGGGCCACTCGAGGTGGTAAGGAGCAACATCGTCTAGGTTAAAAGCACCAAATTTGGGGAAGAAATCCCTCCGTTCTGGTGCTGAGGTCACACACTATCATCACTCTAAACCATGCAGTGCACTGAGGTTGCTCAGTGCCCACGATCACGACCTGTCACGACCCACCTGCCCGGCACAGCATACACCCCTCAGCAGCCTCATGTGGAGCCTCGTGCCCAGCAGGACAGGCCAGACACAGCGTGCAGCTGGTGGTGCTGGGAGGGAGAACAGTGAGACAGCACCATGAGCCCAGCACTGAGACAGCCCAACCCTACACAACCCGCCGGCTGCTTCTTTATGCACACACAGCCTAAGGCTGAACGCTCCATCTACCATCTTTTACCATGTTGTAGGCATTTGTGGTGTCTATCTGCAGTGCAGTTTCTCCCATATGTCTAATTAGGGTTGGGAATGTGATGGCATTTCTATCCTTTCCTTGGTCTCTTATTTGCATGAAACTTAGGAACCAGCCGGGGCCGTTCCCCAGCACACTTGACTGGAACTGCTCAGTAGATGCTGAGAAGAGCAACAGCCATACGGCGGTGAAAGCCACGGAACTGCTTCGATAGCAATTAAACTGAACTTTGGCTGCAAAGTTCACCTCTCCCAGGTGCCCTCTTCCTCCACCATGGGACAGCTGAGTAAAAGTGCCTCCTTCTCCACCAGCCCCCAGCCTAGCTGAGGTGGGGGCTGGGATAGGACTGACCCCAAAGCACACAAGCCAGCAGTTGTCCTTCACTTTGCTGCAGCACTGCTGGCAGAATCCTCCTCCTTTTGTAGAATCTCATCCAAATCTCAGCACCGCCAACTCTAAAGCCTGCAGAGCCCTCTGGCAACTGCTGGTGCTCAGTGGCTGCTACCAGATTGCTTGGCCAGGTGACTAGTAAAGGAAGCTGAATGTCCAACCCTGGTTTTGTTGACTGGAGACTTGTCACTACGTCTGTCTGTATCTTCTTTAACACAGGCTCAGCTAATGTGGGGCCATTAGTTTTACAGCTATATAGAGTTTTACAGCTAGCAGTCAGGTTTTCCTTCCTGCTCTTGTCATCCCTTGTGGCACTGTCATGCTGCTTGGCCTCAGATACTTCTTTCCACCATAGCCTGCTCTAGGGGAGCCCCACCTAAGGTCACATGAGGATTTCTTACTTGCAGAACGATCCAGGCAGGCAAGGCAGACAAAAAGCTGCATTTTGCTGTGAGCTAAAATAACCTGGAGGAAAAAGGAGAAGGTTCTCAGGATCTTTCCTTTGCCATCCCTGTCCCCAATGCTGTTAGTTGTTCCTGTTCTGCAGGCAAACAAATGGGCTCACACCCCCCGCAGTGTGGGCAGGAGGCATAAAAACATGTGCCATGAGCTACAGCTGAGCAGGAGGGAAGCAGAACCCCCTCCCTCACCTTGCAAGTGAAAAGCAGCTTATTAACTTTCATAATTGCATGATCTAGAGGCCGTGCTCATAGCCTTCTCTGTGGCCTAATGTAAAAATCCACTGAGTTAAGGCAGTGAGATGCCACACACTGTCACCCATGACAGCCTCCAACTGCTGCTTATTTACGTTTTTCCTCCCAAACGTAGCAAATGATAGCCAAGATTTGGGTGTGAGACGAGCAGCTTTGTGCACAGATTTTCAAAGGACGACTTGTGCATGTGTAAAGAGCTCTTAATTGGCATCCAGAGTAGCTGTTGCATTGCATGTGCTATTTAGTATTGCCGATGCTATTAGCTTGCTGCGAACAGGAGCGTGACTGCATGTGAGACCTGTTCTTTCATTTTAAATAAGAACACCCATAACTGTGGGAAAAGATACGCTGTCCTATTTTTGGCCTGTACAGAAGAACCTGTTTACTCATTGGTGCTTGTAAGTAACCCAGTGATTGCATCTGGCCATGGGTAAAAGCCTGTGCAGTGTGTGATGGGAGCGCACAGGGTTGCATACAAACAGCCCTACCTTTCTGGCACGCGCTGCAGGCTGTGGCCCCCGACTCGTTGGCATAGTGGCCAGGTGGGCAGGGTGAGCACACGGTGCTGCTGGTAGTGCTGGGGGAAATCAAGCAGAGGTTAGCATGGTTTTATCTTACCGAGGCTTCTCTGTGCTCAAGACAGTGGAGCACAGCTCTGTTTCACTAGCAAGTCTGGAAATAGGGAGCAGGCTTCCCAGAGGGATTGTGGAATCTCCTTCTCTGGAGACATTCAAGATCCTCCTGGACACTTTCCTGCTCATTCTAGTGTAGAGAATCTGATTTAGCAGAGGGTTGGGCTTGATGATCTCCAGAGTTCCCATCTGACCTTTACAGTTCCGTGGTTCTATGGAAAGGGAACTGAGCCACAGGCACTGCTGTGAGGGAGTCCTGACCTGAAATAGCAGGGACTGTGGGAATAGGGATGTGCCATGTCAGGCCTCTGGGAGGAGAGGGAGGACATCAAGGAAGGCCGTGGAGGAGGAAATCTGGTTCATTCATCACCAGTAGAGCCAAATCCCCAACCACAAGCATGTGGGTTTAAAAATCTGTTAGCAGTCAGCCTTTAGAGGACAACAAAGACATGCTCTTTATTCCTTTGGAAACCCCAGGGCTGAGCAAGATTTGTGGAGGGAAAAAATTAAGAAGACAACGGGAATAGAAGCAAACACTTAGCTTAAAACAAACCAACACAAGATTGCATCAGCCACAGAGCTGCTCGCAGCCAAGGGACTCTGGGTTCTCCAAATATCAAAGAAATGTGAAGCACTGCTGATGGAGCCCTGGGCAGCTGCCATGGCTCCTCTCTGTTGCCTCTCTCCTCCTTCCAGCTGCCCCCAGCTCCATGTCACACTCTCCACTGTCCCAGCAGAAGCATTTCTGCAGTGCCTTGGGATAGATCCTGATTTGGTCATGGCTGGGTTTGATGGGGCTCTGAGCAGCCTGATCTGGTGGGGGGCAACCAGCCCATGGCACGGGGTTGCAAGTGGGTGGGCTTTGAGGCTCCCACCAACCTCAGCTATTCTGTGATTTCATGATCTTTTCAAAGGTGTGGCACTGAAGCCTGGCCTGCAGGCCACCCATGCCCCAGGGCACCAAGGCCACAATTTGGGTTAGACCAAGGCTGGCGCCCCTCCTGGTGCAGGGACAGGCTGACACCTCAGGGATTTGAGGCACCTGGAGGCTCCAAGAGCTGCCAAAATGGGGAAGCATTGTGAGAGAGAACACAACCACGTCCAGACCCAGCAGAGGCTGTCACCTACTTGGCGTAACGTCCCTTTGGACACGGCAGGCACTGCTGCTGTCCCCTCGCAGGCTGGTAGTGCCCCGCCGGGCAAGGAGCACAGGCACCAGGGTCCAAGCATGAGCCCTCTGTGCAGCACGAGCAGCTCCAGGTGTCTGAATAGAGACAGAGAGAGCAGGATCAGCACCGTGAGGCTTAACTTCAACCCCTCATCCACCCCCTTGGTTTGTCTACAGATCATTGCAATGGGCACAGGTGTTTGGATCCAGCTCCCCCAGCAAGACAGTTTTTGGGGGGTAGAAAATAACATTAATGCTTGTGATGCTGCTGTGTGCCATTAGATGGGAGAACAGCTGTAAGGCAATCTGTGATCCCAATTCTATCAACACAGACTTCTGGTAATTACCAAGACTGCTCTTTCTCTTCCAATTCAAGGAGAGAGGAGGGTTTTCCTTCTTCCCCACCACCACACAAAAGTTAAAATAAATGCACTCCTTTGATTTCTGATAAATTTACATCTGTGGGAAGCAGAAAACCCCAAAGCAGAGAATCTGCCTTAAGCAGAAACAGCCTTCCTTTGCACATAGGCAGTGCAGTATTCCCACCAGATGTGAGCTCTGGCAGCTCCACAAAACAAATCTGAGCTGCACAGAACAATTCTGTGAGACTTGCAGTGGTGGCTCACAGCAGATCCACGCCCCCTCTCCATGCAAAAACCAGTCCTTGGCACTGCAGGAGCAAAGCATGAGCAAGAGGAGAAGGTCTCGCTAGGGCACATCCTGTACACAGCGTGGTGAAAATTACCTCCTGTGCTCTGCAGAGTTACCCTAGAGCATCCACCACAAGCTGGTCTTCCTCCCTTGGTCACTCCCTTTGCCACCTAGCATAGGAAAGCTTGGGTGAGCCCTGGCTCTTACCACTGCTGGGAATGGTCCCTGGGGAGCAAGGAGTACATGCTGTCACATTCACTCTGCTGCAGTTTGAAGGCTCAGTGGTGCTGAGGGGCGGGACCACTGATAGGACACCAGGAGATGCAGTTGCATCTGGAGGGGTGGCCCAGGCACTGCTGGATGTGGCCATTAGTGCTGTGGGTGCATGAGAGGTGGTAGCAATCCCAGAGGTGAGCGCGGTGATGCGTGGGGTGGTGGGCAGAGCTGGAGTGGGAGGGTTTGTGCTTGAGATAGCAGATGGCACAGCTGTAGGGGTGGTGAGGTTTGTCACTGTTCCAGCTGCAGATGGGGCTGTGGGGGCCGAGGTCGCTGTGGCAATAGAAGACATTGGAGTTGGTGGAACAGGGACTTGGGTGGTAGCTGCACTCAGAAGTAGCGAGGTTGATGCAACAGGGGCCTGGGTGGAGGTTGTCTGGCCTAAAGCAATACCTAAGAGAAATAAAAAAAACGTAATGGTCAAGTTACTGTTCTTACCTTAGTGAAGGCTTATCATTAGGTCTTAACCTTTGTGTCCTCATTTGGTGTCCAGAAATTGTCTTTGCTACGTTCCACTACAGAGCGATGCAGAAACACTGCCAGCATCTGAGCATCACAGAATCATAGAATCACCAAGATTGAAAAGACCTTCAAGATCATCCAATCCAACTGTCCACCTATTGCCAATATTTCCCCACTAAACCATGTCCCTCAGTACCACACCTAAACATTTCGTGGACACCTCCAAGGATGGTGACTCCACCACCTACAGCCTGTTCCAGTGCCTGACTGTTCTTTAGAATAATTTTTTCCTAATGTCCAACCTGAATCTTCCTTAGCACAGCTTGAGGCCATTCCCTCCAGTCCTATTACTAGTTATGCCAACGGAGAAGAAGCCAACCCTCACCTTGCCACAATCTCCTTCCAGGTAGTTGTAGAGAGTGATGAGGTCACCCTGAGCCTTCTCCAGGTTAAAAAATCCCAGTACTCTCAGCTGCTCCTCATAAGGCCTGTGCTCCAGACCCCTCACAGCTTCATTGCCCTTCTCTGAACACACTCCAGGCCTTCACTGTCTTTCTTGCAGTGAGGGGCCCAAAACTGAACACAGAACTTGAAGTACAGCCTCATCAGAACTGAGTACAGGGTGTGATCTCCTCCCTGCTTCTGCTGGCAACACTATTTCTAATACGAGCCAGGATGCCATTGGCTTTCTTGGCCACCTGGGCACAGTGCTGGCTCATGTTCAACTGACCGTCATTGAACATCCTCAGGTCCTTTCCATCCACACAGTCTTCCAGCCACCCTGCCTCAAGCGTGTAGTGTTGCCTGGGGTTGTTGTGGCCAAAATGCAGGACCTGGCACTTGGTCTTGTCAAACTTCGAGCTTTGGCCTCAGCCCAGTGATCCACTCTGTCTATTTCTCTCCAAAGGGCCTTCCTACCCCAGGCAGATCAGCATTTTCTCCCAACTTGATATCGCCTGCTAACTTAATGAGGGTGCACTCAACCCTCAACCAGGTCATTGATAACAATACTGAACTGGACAGGCCCCAGTACCAACTTCTGGGAAGCACCAACGTGATCAGTCCCCTGCTGGATTTAACTCCATTCAGCACCATTCCCTGGGCCCGGCCATCCAGCCAGTCTTTTACCCATCAAAGAGCATGCCTGCCCAAGCCATGGGCTGCCACCTTCCCCAGGAGAACACTGTGGGAGTCAGTGTCTCACGTGCAGCATCACCTGCACACAAGAGCCCTGTCAAGCACATGCATTAGAATCATAAAATCATTTAGGCTGGAAAAAAACATTAAGCTGATCCCAGAGCTGAGAGGTCTGACTCTCCAAGATAAAGGGTTGTGAGAATTGCTTAAAACACTTGGTTTTGCTGGTGGTGCTCAGCTTACCCTGAGATCCCTCAATCTGATTTAAGATGCTTGTCAAGTAGCTGCCTGTTTCATCCCTTCTTGGTTAAAGGGATCAAGGAAGAAAAGTCATGAGTTTGGGATTTTTATTTAAGCTGCTCTGGATGTATCCAGTAACCCAAAGGGAAGCTGCCTGTGGGCAGACTAGCTTTGGTTCCCAAATCCCTCCCCTGTAAGAGCAGGAGTTCTTCACAGCCAAGGAGCTGTAATCTTCAGAGAACTGCGGGGTGTTACTGCAGCACAGGGTGTTTTGCTGTGCAATGTAATAGACTGAAATGGCGTCTACTGATGAAAGTAATCTCAGAAGTACATGACCATATGGAATGGATGTTTCTCAGTCTCAGGATGGAGGAAAAGCCTGTAAAACTAAATGCAACAAGTAGCAAGTTCATATTGCATTGCTAGGTGAAACCCAAGCAAACAAAGCAAACCAAACCCAGCCCACTCCTGCCACCACAGCAGGCACACCACTTTGGATCAGGAATTCAGGGCAGGGATTTCCTCCACAGAATAACCTCCGCTTCTGAAAACACCCAGCTTCATACAGCATCAACGGGCTGCTGTGGCTGCTAAGTGCCTTTTTCCTCTCACGTGCCTTATTATGGTGAGCTACTAACACCTGTAAGCAATTCAGGGCGCACATCTCTTCCATTCTTTTGGATAACACCTGTTACTGAAGTCAGAGGTTCATAGATCATGTCCAGCCCCCTCTCCTGGGTACAGCTGGAAAAAAAACCACCTAGTAGTTTCTGAAAGTAAAAGATTTTCTGAATTGCCAATAGTATCAAGCATTACTTGATGCAATAAAGCATCAAAGTTAGCAGGAAATCAAACTCCTTCTGGAGCTCATCATATGAGAACTGTTAAATCAGTGTTACTTCAGGATTGACTTGGGCCCCACAAACACCATTCTCCCAATAACTCCGTGTTCCCACTCTTCCAGCCAGTGCAAGCCTCTGAGCTTGCCAGAATCCAGCAGCTGCTGCAGGAAAACCAAAGGACTATTTCAAAGGGCTGCTTTAGGAGGGTAATGGAGATAGAAGAGCACAGCTGACACCCAACAGTGATGTTCAGATGAGGAACAATGGGAGCAGGATGATGATGTGGTGCTCAGAGACTGTCAGACAGGCACTGGGTGGCTGGGGATGCATGGGTCACTGCAAAGATCTTCCCAAAGCCACCTCCTTTGATTTCTTCTCCCTGGGCCTTTGATTTCTCACTCTTTGAGCTACATGCACCCACACAATGCTGGACATCTCTGGTGTCAGGGCTCAGCACCACCCCAGCATAGGCAACAACATGCCAATGACGTTGGCTGGTAACACCAGTTGCATTTCTATAGCAAAATCAGGACAGTGAATGAAAGAGTCCTTAGAAATCTGTGATCACATGGAAACAGACTGCTCAGAGGGCTCCCTCCTATGCGTATACTGACCGCTTTGTACTCAAGAGTGTAGAAAACTGAGTCTTTCTGTAACTCCTGGGACAGGCAGCAGATGAGCACCCAGCCATCTGGGCCATTGCCACATCTTGCTGTTTTCTCCAAAAAGAGAAACGCTGAATTTAACAGTGAGGGTTTTGTTTCACATTTGCTTGCCCAAGGTAAATATCTTAGAGACCAGGAGTCATCAGCACTTGTCCTACACAGAAAGCACAGCTCCTGGCCACATTGCCTATGCCACGCTTTGACCCAGCACCACGATGCACTGTTCCCTTTGTCCAACTCAGCAGCCTTAACTCAGTCTACTTTACAGTGAGTCAGACATGAGGATGTCATGGTAAGCAGCTTACTGAACCTTTGATGACAGACCTGAACCTTTGTAACATACAGGACATGCAGCCCTGCTGACCTGTGAAGCACATGGCAGTGGCTGAGAACTGAAAAATGGCCTGAGTAGGATGGCAGCTCCTTTGCTTCTCTTCCCCCACATCAGTCTGCTATCAGTTCTTGAAGCAACCAATACTTCAAGCAAAATAAAATATAACCAAGTCAATAATTGTCTGTGTAAAGAAGATCTTTGGTGAATTCCACATGTGAATAAGCTGCTTCTGAATTTCCCCAAACTCCATGAAAGTTCCAGTCTACAGGTTGTACCTCATCACATGATTTGGCTGGATTTGTACCAGACACACAGGTACACCAAGGCTCCCAGGTAAGTGAATCATAAAGGTTGGAAAAGACCTTTAAGACCATCTGGTCCAACCATCAGCCCATCCCCACTAACCATGTCCCTCAGTGCCAATCTCTGAGTTTCTTGAATGCCTCCAGGGATGGTGACTCTACCACCTCCTGGGCATTTTAAGATGAGAGATTATGGCCTAAGAATTGTTCTGAGAAGTTTTCACAGCATGGGGACCTCAGGGTCCCTCTGGCCCTGCCCTACCCCAGTAGGGCCACCACCAGCAGGGTGCCCAGGCCCACGACCAGGCAGCTACTGAAATCCCCAAGCAGATCCCACAGCATCTCCGGCCCCTGTGCCAGCACTCCAGCACCACCCGGCACAGTGCTGCCTGGTGGGCAGGGGGAAAGGAACTGAGGAGCTCTGTTCCAGCTGGTGACCATGGGCCCTGCAAGTCCCCGACCCACTGAGTGCCTCAGGTCTGCAGGAGCAGGGACATGAGTACAGAAATATTCAGGCACTTTTACACGTGCTCCTAGGATCACCCGGTTACCAGAACACCCCCAAGAAGGGGAATGTTTCTTCCTTTGGGTTTCAGATAAGGCCACAGCACTCAGTCTGCAGTAACTGAACTTACTCCCTTTTCTTTACAAAGCACCTGGTGGAGCTGTAGGTGTCCCTGTTCATCATAGGCACTTAGACTAGCTGGCCTTTAACTGTCCAACTCAAAGAGCTCTGTGATTCCGTGACTGCTAGGCTGCTCGCCCCACTTCCAGCACTGCACCCCTTTAAGGCACTGCTCCCAGCACTCCCCCCTGCCCACCCCACACTCTGAGGCCAGCGGTTTCACCAGCACACACCATGTCCCCACGCCCCGCACTCAGCCCCACAAAGCAAAGCAGCACTGGAAGGGCTCACCTGTCAGACACGCCGTGGTCAAGCTCCAGAGCAGAGGAGGGGGCCAGACGCTCATTTTCCCTGAGCACTAACAGCTCGCAGAGGGCCGGGGCAGCAGCTGATCTCCCTCACTGAGCTGCTTATCCCACACCGCTTCTGCGCTCAACGTCGTCACCTGACTGCGATCATGCGGCTGGGCCGGATCAGCCTCCCCCCAAAAGAGGGGGTGTTTGTGCACAGAGGGTGCAGCAGGTCTCAATGAGGCCTCCTCGAGGTGCAGTGCAAGCTAAGCCTGGAGCAAAAGAGCAAACCTTGCTCGCTTCCCATGCAAAAACTCATGCAAGAGGAGCAAGGCGCTGAGGAAAGAGAAACAGGCAGAACTGGGCCGGGCTGCAGGCCAGGCCCTGTGATCTCCTCAGGGGGAAGGATTGCACTTCTAGATACCCAGGGCTTCCTGCAGCAAGAACTACTCAGGAAGAACTGCAGCTCAAAGCAGTTCCCATTTTAACTGAGGCAATCATCGCTTGGTTTGGGCTATAAGGGACCTTAAAGCTCGCCACTCTGCTGTGGACTGGGTGCCCCTCACCATATCAGGCTTCTCAGGCCTCACCACCCTCTGAGCGAAGAATTTCTTGCTAACATTTAACCTCAATCTCCCCTCTTTAGGTTAAAACCATTCCCCTTTGTCCTATCACTATCAGTCAGTGTAAAAAGTCAGTCCCCCTCCTGCCTGTAAGCTCCCTTTGGGTAGTGGAAGGCCTCAGTGAGATCTCCATGCAGCCTTCTCCATGCAAACAAGCCCAGCTCCCTCAACCTCTCCCCCTAGTAAGGGTGCTCCAGCCCTCTAAGCACCTTTCACGGCACTCCTCTAGACCTGCTCCAGCTGCTCTGCATTCTTCCTGCAATGGGTAGGCAGACAAGCGCCACCACAACCCAAATTGCAGCTCTGTTGAGCTCAGCCTGTTCTGAAAGTGCTGAACTCCAGCTGGAGGTCTTCAGAATGGCAGAGAGGGAGATATGCATTACACACAGCACCCTGCCAGCATCACAGCCCTTCTCAAGCCCTTCCCAGTTGATGGACCTGAGCCACATATGAGCACCCTCAGCTGCCACCCTCCAAGCTGCATTGGTTTCTGCCAATGGTTCACTCAGCCCAGAGTAGAGCAGCTGAGGGGAGGCCTCATGGCAGCTGCAGCTCCTCACAGGGAGCTGGGGAGCATTGCTGAGCTCTGCTCTGTGTGCGACAGCAACAGGGCCCGAGGGAATGGCATGGAGCTGTGTCAGGGGAGGGCAGCTCAGGATTAGGGAAAGGGTCTGCACCAAGGGTGGTGGGCACGGAATGGCTGCCCAGGGCAGTGGGTGCAGCCCTGAGCTGCTGGAGCTCAAGGAGTGTTGGTACACTGCTCTCAGACGTGGGAATTCAGAACCCCCCTTCAGGTGCCCAGAGGAGGGCCAAGACAACAGCAGGCAGGTAGAACGGAGAAAAGCAAGAACACCGTTGCTGCGCTCCGAGCAGGCTAATAGCTGTACCAGTACAAATGGCCACACGATGGCACCACAGCTTTGAAAAGCGAAAGACACACCAATACCCTTCAGAACCGATACTAAAATCACCAAAGAGTGATGTTTTATAACGGCACCAGCAAGAACCTTCATAATAAGTGTTGTGTAAATGGAAGGGCAAAACCCCCAGCAGGGAAGCTGAAGTAATAGAAATAATGCATTCTTATTCTGAAGCAAACGCTTCAAAAAAGAAGAGCGAGAGGCATTATTGTTTGGATTTCAAGGGAATTAAAAAAAAAAACAACCAGTAAAAATGGCCAAAAGAAAGTCAGATTCTCCAGCAGTAACTTCCAGGGCGCTTCCCACAACCTGCCTCCTTCATGAAATACCTACTCGTACTGTATCAGGAAGCAGTAAGCATATTTTAATAGCAAGTACTATTTAAAAACCACACTCCAGAACCAGCTGGGAGAACCTTCTCTGGTCTGGAACCATCTTGAAACACAGCAGGTTTTAAAAATGACATCATCTCTTCTGCTCACTCACCAGTTTTGTTTCATGCCTTATTTTTCCTTTCCTGCTGTCAGGAAAACACGTTCATGCACACCTGAGAGCAAGAGAACTTGGAGAAAAATGAATTCTGGGTTCTATCTAAAGGTAACAGCTTTAGGACAGTATCTGATGAGGCAGTGAAGGTCTTAGAAAGGTCAGTGTTTGGTCAGCCGTGAAACCTGGTATTAGAACAGAATCCTAAGCATGTAATAAAAGCTCTGTTTGCCTGAGCCAGCTATGCTGTCCAAAATGTCTAGTGACAGAGATCACTAAAAATAGATGAGTCCAATTCTGAATAGGCCGTTCTCAGGAAGACAAGGCAGCCTGGCACATCCTTATTCATGTAAAATGTATTAGTGAGTCACCCACATGGACGCCAAGAACCTTTCACAGAACAAATGCTCTATGACATAAGTGAAATGTGCATCCCAATCTACTCTCAAAGCTTTGTCACAAGTGTTTTAACAGAGCAGTTGACCTGGAACAGAATTTGCTTGCCAGCTATTTGATAAGGTCGATCCAACAGAAAAAAAACTCAGATTATGCCTGGCACCACATGAGTGCAGGCAAGCGTAACAGAGCCGTGTCACAAGGCTCCAACATAAGAAAGCTGGGATGAGGCCAGCCACAGGTCTGTGTCGCTCAGCATCGGGAAGTCAGTCTTCACATTTATCACAGAATAAACCAGACTGCAGTCTGTGAGCATAAAGACAAAACCAAACCACAGAAGTCTTCCACAGCACTCCAGGACTGAGAGAAACAGCCGCTGTTGTAGCTCAGCCACAGGAGGCAGTCAGCAAGCAGGGCTTATTCCACACTTGATGCCAATGGCCCAGCCACGCGCCGCGCACCTTCCTGGATCCACCAGGCCCAGGCTGTGGCTTGAGCACTGAACAACAAGCACACCCACACAGTGCAGAGCCTTACCAGGGGTAACCAGCTTTTGTCGAATCAGCCCAGAAAGCAGAGGCAGGTATTTTGCTAACACCTCCTCCTCACAACTATCCTAACCAGAAAAACTACTGCATGTCAGCGTTGCTTCGCTTCTGGAGATGTACTGCAAAGCTGACATTTCCATGGGATACATTTAGAATGGATGTGCATAATGCGAGTATTAAAAAAATGGTTTGCTTCCATAGAAAATCTAAATTTTTATTATACATACTGTATTACACTGAAAATACGTACCCAAAGACAGAATATTTTGAATTTACAACTGTACAAAAAAAAACCAAAACAATAGAAAACATACAGACTATGCAATAGATGTAACATTTCACAAAATGACATTTCTTGTTAAAGGCACCAGATTCCCAGAGGGCTCTGGCTTAACATTTTTTAGTCTTTTCCAGTCAGATTACACTATGAGAATGTGATTCACTCTTAAACTGTATGATGTCAAAGTTTCAAGCTTCTATCTAGACAACAGTTTGCACTTAGACATCATTTAGTGATATTACCAATTTCACACAGAGGTATTGAGCAACCACCAAAAGTTCCCCCTCATCGCATCCAGTATCCTATGGCATTTAACTGAAAAATTAACCAGCGAAGCTACCAGTGGAAAATGAAGTTAACCCACAGAACACTGGCCCAACACAAGAGTGTTAACCACACAAAGTCTCAATAGCATTGTACGGAGAGAACTACAGAGCACTAGAGCAGGAAAAAGGAGGAGGAAGGAATCTGTAATCGGTACTCTTGCTCAACATCCTCTTTGGGCTCACCTTCATTAAACTCATTTCACTTTCAAGTCCTCACTCTTGAAGAAAATGGAGCCTGAAGAAACCTAGGACTTCGCAGGGCAAGTTCTTAAGAAGCCTGTATGTGTGTGTATGTGTTCTTTCCATCCCCCACCTAACACACTTGGACAGGACAGGTTAAAAAAAAGCCACTTTCATTGCTACAAGCCACATTGTGTTCATTTTGTGCCCTGACATGCTCACAGGTGCTTGTTTACAAGCAAAGACAAGAAAATGGCACATCCTGCCTTGCTGAGGTCCAGTAACATGGTTAGGAAGTTTGGGATTGCTGTTTCCTAAAGTTTCATGCTTGGGCAAAGGGAAAGAACACAGAAGTAAGAAAAGCCACAACTACTCCTGCGGTCATTCGGTTAGCACACCGCACTCATTCTGCAGTCAGCAAGAGCTTTTGTTTAGTTTTGCAGCACACGCTGAGCATCACTGTATAGAATCCAGCTCACAGCCAAGTGACTGAATATTTAAGATTAAAAAATATCAAGTTCCAAGGCCAGAGTGTTCTGTCTGCAGCAATTCCATTACACTGGAATTCAGATGCTGGCGTTGCCCTGTCTGAATTGCCTGGCACACTACATTTTCTCCAGATCAAAGAGCTCCATGTAGTTTCACTTCTTACCATAACATTGCAAAATCTTCCCTTTCTTTAGGCATTTAAGAACCCTTTCAAGATCCACAAATCAACCTGCAGTAATGCTATAGTGTTGAGTGTCATAAAGTCGCTTTTAAAAATAAATTATTTTGCAGCGCCGTCTCATCCTAATAACCTAACAATTAAAAATATACTATGCTTCTGCTTAAAATTTCAATATATCGGGCATGACTTCAAGCAGGCCTGCAGATCAACTTTGTTACACAGCAAATAAGATCTGGTAGCAGCACGGTAGGCTTCCAACACCATCTGCGTTCAGATGACTCAAATTTATTCTACAATGACTTCTTGAAGGCGCGGCTGCTTCCATCCCAGCACGACAGGTTGAAATACAGACTTGTGCAGACTACAGGGTTAGCAAAGCACCTCCACTGATCTCAAGAAAGCTCAGTCATCACACAGCAGCTGCTTCTCACTACCGAACTGCAAAGGGTCTCAAATGAGCAGTTTACAGTAACAGTGCACACCCCTCAAGTCAGCCAATTTTCTAAAACATTTATTCTAAAATTGTATTTGGTACTTGCAGTTTAGCAAGTAGGAACATTTAAGACAACTATTATACATGCTTAAAGAAAAATGGTCATCGAAAAAAAAACCCTTTAAAAATCTGAATGCAGACAAGAAAAGGAATGTTACTTTCTTTTAAACCTTTACTTTAAAAGATGAATACTTTCATATTCTACTATTAGCCCTCACTGTGCAAGATATAATCAAATAAGTTACAGCCATGAAAATGCTTTTTTACTGAACTCATTCTAAAAACTAGAGCCCACCACTAATCCTCACTTGTCAGGCCTGCCTGTAGCTGCTTACAGGAAAAAACATTCTCAGAATCACAATCTGCACTGCTTCTGAAACGGGCTAATAAGAGGTGGAGGAGAGCCCCCAGTGTGATGGTGAAATGAGGAGCCTAACGTTCACATTAGAACATGCACAACACTCCGTAAT